CCGTTGGGCCGCCAGCCCCGCCTGCAGGATCGGTCTGTGAGGAGAACGTTCTGGAAGAACAGAGAGGGGTCAGAGAGGGGTCAGAGGTCAGAGGGGTCAGAGAGGGGGTCAGAGGGGTCAGAGGGGTTAGAGAGGGGTCAGAGGAGGTCAGAGGAGGTTAGAGAGGGGTCAGAAAGGTCAGAGGAGGTTAGAGAGGTCACAGAGGGGTCAGAGAGGTCAGAGAGGGGTCAGAGGAGGTCAGAGGAGGTTAGAGGGGGTCAGAGGAGGTCAGAGGGGTCAGAGGGCGGTGAAACGGCGATAGTCGTGATGTACTTCAGTGATATGATGTACTTTGATAATATGAAGTCATGAAGTACTGCAGTAATACTTCAGTAATATGAAGTCATGAAGAACTGCAGTAATACTTCAGTACTATGAAGCCATGATGTACTTCCAGTAATATGAAGTCATGAAGTACTGCAGTAATACTTCAGTAATATGAAATCATGAAGTACTTAGTAATATGATGTACTTCAGTAATATGAAGTCACGAAGTACTGCAGTAATATGAAGTCACGAAGTACTGCAGTAATATGAAGTCATGAAGTACTGCAGTAATACTTCAGTACCATGAAGCCATGATGTACTTTCAGTAATATGAAGTCATGAAATACTGCAGTAATACTTCAGTAATATAAAGTCATGAAGTACTGCAGTAATACTTCAGTAATATGAAGTCATGAAGAACTGCAGTAATACTTCAGTACTATGAAGCCATGATGTACTTCCAGTAATATGAAGTCATGAAGTACTGCAGTAATACTTCAGTAATATGAAATCATGAAGTACTTAGTAATATGATGTACTTCAGTAATATGAAGTCACGAAGTACTGCAGTAATATGAAGTCATGAAGTACTGCAGTAATACTTCAGTACCATGAAGCCATGATGTACTTTCAGTAATATGAAGTCATGAAATACTGCAGTAATACTTCAGTAATATAAAGTCATGAAGTACTGCAGTAATACTTCAGTAATATGTAGTCATGATGTACTTCAGTAATACTTCAGTAATATAAAGTCATGAAGTACTTCAGTCATATGACGTCATAAAATACTTCAGTAATATGAAGTCATGAAGTACTTCGGTAACACGAAGACATGAAGTACTGCAGTACTACTTCAGTAACTTGAAGTCATGAAGTACTTCAGTAATATGAAGTCACTGAAACACTCCACTAACACCGCCAGTATTACTGCTGTGCCACTGAAGTACTTCCTTCGGTAACACTTCGGGTTGACACCGCAGTACTACTGCGATCGTGGCTACGTACCCACTACGTCCAGCTGGTAGGTGTGGTTCAGGCTCCCGTGCTGGTTCTCCACCACACAGGTGTAGTTGCCCTTGTCGGAGGGAACCACGGACTCCATGATGATGGTCCACACATGGTCCCGGACCTGGAGACACACATGGGGGGGGGTCAAAACCATCGGTCTGTACT